TTAGCCGTCCTTGATGACGGCTTTAAGCGACCGCAAACCATAAGCGACTGACAGCTAACATTCCTCTGCCTCAAAAAAGTCGCCATCAAGGACGGCCAATGACCTCTAAAGCCGTCATCAAGGACGGCTAATGACCTTTAAAGCCGTCATCAAGGACGGCTAATGACCTTTAAAGCCGTCATCAAGGACTGCCAATGACCTCTAAAGCCGTCAAGGACGGCCAATGACCTCTAAAGCCATCATCAAGGACGGCTAATGACCTCACTCAGAAATAATTATTTTTACCGCGGTAAAATTATTGGCCTTTTACCCACCCAGCGGCCGTGTTACACATAATTTAACCGCGGTAAAAATAATTATTTCTGAGTACGCTGGCCAACCATAGTCGCTACCGTGTCACCTCCGCGTTTGTCCGCATTTCATCGTTGACACGTCACAACAACAACGTAGATAAACGATGGAGATCAGTGTGGGGAGCGTGAGGCAGCGACAGACATATGGGGGTGCACTTAGAATGTTCATGCTTCATTAGAATGTTTATGTGCACTTAGAATGTTCATGCTCATCGTATATTTGTTGCACGTTTATAGGACGTTCGATTATCGGTTAGTGTGTCCTGCTCTCTCTACACGCACGCGCACGCTCGAAGCGCCACACCAATTTGGACGCGGACGTTGTATTAAATCTCGATTTTTTCTGCTGTCCATATTTCCTTCTCTCTCTCTCTTTCTGCCTCTCTTTAACTCTCACTCTCTCGCGCTCTCTCTCTCTCTCTCTCTCTCTTCTCCACCAGCTTCTCCCCCTCTTCCAGCCCAAGCTCCCCTTCGCCCTCTCCTTCTCCCTTTCCTTCTCCACAGCTCTCCCCTCCTTCCCTTCTCGCACCAGCTCTCCCCTCCTGCCACCGACGCTTTTCCCTTTTCCATCCTTCTACCTCCACCTACCCTTCTCCCTCTCCCCTTCCAGATCTTCACTCAGCTTCATCCTCCCTCCTCTCTCAAAGCCGAGTTTCTTACCCTTCTGCCCGCCTCCCTCCTCGCACCAGCTCCCTTCTCCCCTTCCTCTTCCCACCAGCTTCTCTCTCTCTCTTTCTCTACTAGTCTTCATCCCCCTCCTCCACCACCTTCTCCCTTCTCCCCTTCCTATTGGTGCATTCCCTTGCACGTACTGCGTTTAAATTGAAAGCCAATTAAGAGCGTGTTTAAGCAATGATCTCATTTTATTCTGACAAGAAATAAAGCTCAGTAGATTATTTAACTCGTGTAATTTTACATGTTTAGTAAATGTTAAATTGAAATAATCTATTATAAATAATATTATTAATTTATGTTAAATCTTTTATAACTAGTAACAAATTGCCAATGTTATAAGAGAAATTTTATTTATTGAATTACATAATCTATACTCTTCATATCTTCATGATTTCGGTTCATATGACGGAGGCTAATCAAAGCCCAATAATCAAACCCTAAAATCGAATTCACGTGTCAACAGAACGTTGCATGTATCTCTCGCACACTTCGTTGTGTAAAGCATTCGCCTTTTAGAGAGGGAGAAAAAGAGATGAAGAGAGATCGGAAGAAAGAAGGTGCTATATAAAGAGAGAGAGCGGCCGTGAAAAGAATCGAAAGAGAAAAGAGTGGAGACATGAGAGAAAGAAAAAGAGATAGAGAGCGAGTGAGAGAGAGAGAAAAAAGCGAGGGAAAGCGAGTGAGAGATAGAGAGAGGCGGAGAGATAAGAGAGATAGAAAGAGAGAGAGAGAAGAGAGACGACGCGCCAAGCCGAGAGAGAGAGAGAGACAATGAGAGAGAT